ATAGACTCCACAGCTGTACAGTTTTTTTGTTTTTTTTTGTTTTTTTTTTTTTTTTGGTATGTGTGTGTGTGTGTGTGTGTGTGTGTGTCCTGTGATTTTATTTGGTTATAGTTTGGTGCTTTTCTGTTTTTTTTTTTTGTTTTCTGTTTGGGTGTTGTTCTCTTAGTTTGAGGGACTTTTGTTATATTGTGTTTTTGTTTTTTGAGCAATAATTTAAAGGTGTATAGGTAGGGAGGTGGGAACATATGAAAGAACTTTGGGGGAAGCAAAAACTATGATCAAATTATGTTTAAATTAAAAAGTGATTTTATATAAAAATGTGTCCATTGGAACTCAAATCTTAGACTGACTTTACTTTATTCTAACTCTAAACATTTTAGATTTTAGAATTAAGAACTAATCAATTTCAGTAGCTTCTATAGCCAGACTCCTAAGATCATAAGAGGTTTCCCACAGTCCACCAGATGTGTTTCTGTCCATGTATCAATGTAAATCTGGAGCATCTGGGACACCTGAATGAGTCCCAAGCAGGGATTTATTTTGTGTAGCAGAACTGAGATTGATTCAGGTGTGATTTGTCCATTATGCCTTGCTTTGGAAACATTCTTCTTGGATTGTACCAAGAACCCTTACTAACACTATAGTCACTGTCCTGGTTGACATAATCAGACTTATTGTGAGCATTGGGGGTTCTTTGTGAGCATCCTAGAGGCAGTTCTCCTGTATACAGACATGTCACTGAACGAACTGGAAAGCTTCCTTTTATTCCTTCTACTTTATTTACTACATATAATCTTTAAACTGACATAAGGATTTGGAAAATTGTGCATAAATTATTTGCCCTCCTTTTTTTCCCTAAGAGGATAATCTAATACAAAAAATCTTCCTACCTCCATTGCAAAGCATTTTACGTATAATTGAAATGGGAGATATCTGCAGAGTAGTAATTTACTTTTATGTTATCTCTGGGTTTTAGTTAAATGAGTATATTGAGTTTATACATGAATTATCTTCCCATGCATTAAGCACCTGAAGTTTCATGTCCAGGAACTGTGCATTCCTGTCAGTTGACAAATACTCCTTCATTGTCACCTGTATTAAAGACCTGTCCTTCCTTGTCCCCTGCCTCCTCTCCGCTCAGTTTCCTTCTTTCATCTTCTTCCTGGAAGGAATGTTCAGTATCGTTCATGGAGCGGTGTATTCTGTCTTAGTCCTCAGAACTCCACAACTGGACTCAGATCTCTGCCATGTCACAGAAGTGGCTACATTTTGCCAAAGCCCCTTTCCTATCCTTCTTTATCATGTTTCAACAGAACCTGGTGCAGCTGGCCTGTTCTCTGGAACACTGACTATTCCTGCCTGTGTCTGGAGTTTGTTTCTCTTTTTCTTTCCAAGCTTTCATTGACAGTCTCCGGGGCTTGGGACTTGATGTCCTTTCAGTCTGCCTCCTTTGGTGACCTCAGTCACCTGGTCTACTCGGCTTCTCCACGGGAGGTTATGAGTATCTCAGACCTTACATGTTTTCAACAAAGTCCCCATTCCACCCCTCTGCAATGTCCCCGTCTGCTATCTTTTCTGTCTCAGGATTGCATCCTTCTCTCTTTAGCTACACTCTATCTTTCCACATCTGTGGTTCTACATGCACAGAGTCAACCAACTGCAGATCAAAAACATTTTGAAAAAATAACACAAACATTTAAGATTCATTACAATAAATGTTCATATACCATTTACATTGCTTTAGGTATTATAGAAGCAATGTAAGGGTGGCTTTAAAGTTGTTTAAGGGCTAATGGGATTGCTCTGTAGGTAAAAACGATGCCTGCTAATCCTTTTAGCCTTCTTTGATCCCTGGAACCCATGCAGTAGAAGGAAAGTTCTGACTCCTGAAAGATGTCCTTTGACTTCCTAATGCATACACCTCTGCCACCCACAGGTAAATAAATGTAAAAATTGAAAAACAAAGTCATATGTAAGTGCTTTGTGACTTTATATAGGAGACAAACATCTTTGATTTTCAGTGTCCCTAAATCAACCCCCTGCAGATTCAGATTCTGATTTATCAGTAAATGGATAAAGTTGACAATGAGTTGTCTGTGCTATTCCACAGTAGTAGGCCTAATGTTCTGTCGTTTACAGCCCTCCATAGACCCAGTATATGTCTTTATTGAAATTATCGATTTTGATTTGGGAACAGTTTTTCCCCCTTTCCTAGTTAACTTGGCATTTTGTTTAATGTTGTTCCAATGCTAGGCAGACTGAGGTTTGCTAACACACAGCACAGAGTATGTTCTTGCATATGCACTACAGTTAGTTCACTGGCTGTACCCCCCTTGGATTAAGATTTTGTTTCTCAAAGTTTTACTATGGAAACCAGGGAGCTGTTGTTTGGATACTCACTTTTACACACTGCACTGTGGTATCCATGATAGGGAGACACTCCTATTGCTTTTTCCTCCCCTAAGGTTGTCTTCCTCAGTCCAAGTTGTGATGCTGTAGCTATGTACCGTGGACTGGGTGACCAATGAGGAATAGATTCCTACTCAACTCACTATGCTAGCTGAAGATAAGGTAACATCTGATGAGCATCTGGCAAGGGCCTGCCTGCTGGGTTATCACATGGGACAGTGGGAGTGTCAAGTACAGATTGCTTTTAGAGCATGGAGAGATGGAGACACAGAGATAGAAAGACCCACATCTCATCCAAGAAGGACATTCTCTTCTGGTCAACCTGAAGACCCCTCACTAGACCTCTCAAAGGTCCCAGCACTGCTATTCTGGCCACGCAGCTGGGAACCTTTGAAGACATACGTCTTCACACCTAAACCATAACATGAATTAAGTTTTTAACGTGTATGATTGGTATATACAACAAATTCATTCTAGACATCCTAGGGTTGTGGGCAGTGCTACTTTCTTGAGGGTTTTGCTTCTCAGAATAGACTTCCTCCAGGATACTTGTTCTGAACTATTTCAGGTGCATTCTGATACAGGGCTATGATATCTCTCCAGGTATGGTGTCAGGAATTTGTGTTGTGATATGAATTTGATAGTCTACCTCACCATGGAATAGGGGTTGCATATCCAGTGTTTGTCTTGGAAGCCTGAACAGATACTTCACTCTCTTGTTTCTGACTGGATGTATTAATTGGTTGAAAGATAAGACAAGAAAATCTTAACCTCTTACTGTGGTTGTTGTCACAACATGGTAAAATTTACTGTTGTGCCTCTCTGTGTGTCATCGAGCCTCAGCTAAGACTTTAATCTTGAAAATAGGAAGGAAGCTTGGGTTGAACTTTTGCATCTAGCCTGCCTTAAATCCTGGACCTGTCTTAGCTGGAAGTTTATTATTAAGGCGAGGAACAAGACCTGGAATTCCCAAAGTTCCTTAATTTCTTTCAGGATATGGGGTCATCAGGTTTGGTGGCAATCTTGTTAATAATTTCCTGCATTACATTCTGATCCCCCATTGCTTGATTGAGCTAGACAGCTAAATATAAGATATAAACATTTGAACATGCATGTAATACATACCTGTGTATATACTGTTAAGTGTCTCTCTCTCTCTTTCTCTCTCTCTCTCTCTCTCTCTCTCTGTGTGTGTGTGTGTGTGTGTGTGTGTGTGTGTGTATAAGAGGGGCTTTATCCCAATAGTGGGCTTATATTTTTGGAATATGATCTTTGATATTTACCATTGAATTTAACATAAAATGCCCAGAGCTCAGTGATGGTCTTAATTATTGTTCTTTTCAATGCCCAAATTATTATTAGTCTGCTAGTAACATGAGAAAGTAAGATAATGGTTGTAGTTTTAGAGAGACAAGGTCAGTAGCATTATTTAACTCAAATTTTCTGAGTGATAAGATACTGACATAAGATTCCCAACAACATAACCAGTCCTGTGATAGTCCTGACACCAAGGTCAAAAGACATCAAAGGCCTTCTGAACCACTATCCAGTTAGGCTCTATGCGGTGTCTACTTCTTGTGCACAAGACTCTTACCACATGGAGTTTTCCTTCTGCCAGCTGAGCTAGAATAAAGGGGTATTCATAGTTATGAAGAGGGCTACAGGTGCCCTCTAATTTGTCACCAGGGAAATGGAAACTGGCCTAGAATTCATGTAAGACTCCCGATGACTTTCTGGAATCCAAAACTGCTGAACAAAAAGTGTTTGGCAATGAATAAGAATCATCTAGACACTGAATATCTTGCACAAAGTCCCAGAGAGAGTGAGTGGTGTAGGAAAGGAGCTATATACAAACCAGAAGGAGTTTATGGAGCAAGGGGAGAGAGAGGCCTTTCAAGCAAGGGGAAGCAGGCTTGGTGAGAACCAGCGTGTGTTGCCTTTCTAGTCCCTGCACATTTAGGGTAGCAGTGTAGCCACACACAGAAGTCACAGATCATTTGGGTGGCACTTGGAAGAAGAGTACATGACTGAGTTCTGGCTGATCCTCCCTAAAAATCTCAGCCACCTGGCAGGATGTATGAGAAGCCCATCCTACCACTCTGGCCAGCACCTCCTCAGCTTGCTGCTGGGTCTGTGCAGACTCATGCTTTGGGTGGCTTTCTGATGGTGCTTGGGATGAGCCCACCTTTTTCTACCCTTGACCACCTGTAGTGTTCTGGTGTGCTGACTTGCCTAGTTTTAAAATTCTACTTCCTGCTCTGGTGCCCCTTCCAGCAATTTTCTCTATTAGGCTCTGTCGGTACTGGGGCCCATGGGATCAAGTGCTAGGAAGTTGTATTGTCACCGAGGTCCATTCTTTCTGACCCCAACTCACAGTCACAGCGTCGGCTGAACCATTCACAGGTGCTGCATGTATAATTTGCTTTATTGGGATGTTTGGGTTTCGCAAAAACCATTTAAATTCTAACATTCCAATTATTTTACCCCATTCAGGTTGATACACTTTAATATCCTTTTGAGTTTGTTATGGCATGTGAGAGAGCTGAGTTACTACTGTGTGTTCAACTGGTTCCCAATTCTTTAATTTGTAGTTCTCTCGGGTGCTGAAGAACAGAGCCTGGCCCACCTTTAAGCAGGCCAAATCTAAGATCTCCCCACTGCACAGCAGTGATTTCTGCCCGACCAACTGCCATGTCAATGTGATGGAAGTTTCTTATCCTAAAACATCAACTTCCCTGGGGAGTGCCTTCGGTGTTCAGCTGGATAGTAGGAAACATAGTTCTCATGACAGAGAAAATAAATCTTCAGAGCCAGGTATGTTAGCTTTTGAAATGTTGTCAACTCATGAATAGGAATTTAGGCAATGTGTAGTTAGTTATGCTAGCTTTATTTATTTATTATGTATGTAGTGTTCTGTTTGCATACATGCCTGCATGCCAGAATGGGACACCAGTTCTCATTCTAGATGGTTGTGAGCCACCATGTGGTTTCTGGGAATTGAACTCAGGGCCTCTAGAAGAATAGCCAGCCAGTGCTTTTAACTGCTGTGCCATCTCTCCAGTCCTATGCTTGCATCTTAAAATTTGGTAGATTCCCAGTGTTCTGTTTTCATAAAGAAATGATTTCATGCTCTACTTGCTTAGATTATCTCATGTAAGTATATATAGGATAAAGACAGTTGACACTTTCAGTATTTCCCTTTAAGAAGGAGGATTTCTCTTGTTTTCATTATTTGTGCAGTTCATCTTGCTGTGAAAGGTTCTTCATCTGAAATAACTGTAGCTTTGAGAACAATAAGGAGGTATAGGAGAAGGATATATGAGGCTTCTGTGAATCATTGCAATCTGACAAGTAAAGTAATTCTATTGTAGATTTTAATAACAATGTGTCGTAGATTTTAATTTCTGAATTAAATTTAGCATGCGATTGACATTTTATTATATATGAACTTGTACTTCTAAAATGTGCGGGACTACATAAGTAGAAGATAAATGATGGAATGATTTGAACTCCTCAGGGAAACTGAGCCCCATGGTCTATATTCAACACACAATCACAACCATGGCAGCCCCTTCAGAGTTGTCTCTGGGACACAAAGATGGCCATGGACTCCGATATTTATTGAAAGAAGAAGACTTAGAAACTCAAGACATCCATCAGAAACTCCTTGGCAAACTTCAGACTGCACTCAAGGAGGTGGAGATGTGTGTTTGTCAAATAGATGAGTAAGTATGCTATGTCATACATAGATTTTTGCATACATAAAAGAGTTATGCAAGGTGTTTTTGAAAAATATGTTTGTTAGTCATGGAAATTTTGTGCTGACCATAAAGACCTTTTCCATCTCACCTTATAAGTGGTATGAAAAAACAATTACATGGATAAGTAATCATTTAATTTTGAAAGAAAGAATGACACAGAAAGAACATTGTCATTATAAAATATTACATTGAAATACGTTTAAAGCTGGGCCCACTGGCACAAGTCTGTAATCCCTGTTACATGTGGAGGCCATAGCAAAAGGATTACAAGTTAAAGGCCAAACTAGGCTAGAGAATGAGCTCAAGAAAAGCCTGTCTCAAAATAAAAACTGAAAAAAGGACTGGGGAGTTGTAATAGATCAGTCCGAGAATTTTTGACTATGTGCATGAGACTTCATGTCCCATTCTGAGTCCAGTGTTCTAAGTGTAAATGGGGATTTCCTTCTTGTGTTGTATTTTTTCAGTTCAGAAAACAATATGGAAATATGTTTCCCAGAGATATTCATAAGTGGTACATAGTATAGCATAACACATACTTAACAAGTACTAGGTAAGTTAAAGCAAAAAACTATGTATTTTTAAGATCAATTCTTTTTTTTTTTCTGTGTTCTGATTGAATTAATGGACCAATAATTTTGAAGTTTTGGCTAAGATGGAGGCAGTTCACAATCTCCTTTGTAACTAGACACATTGATTTTTTTAACTTTAGAATTTGATACTTGGGATGCCTACCTTCCACAAGGGGGCATGTCACATCTAGTGATAATGTCTCCATCTAGTAGTTCAGTATCAGAAAGGAAAAGTGATTTTTGGAAAAGATCAATTTCTCATGCATAGAAGTTAAGGTATAATAATATGAATTTCATTGACAGTGTAGAAATTAATAAGGAAGCATAACATAGTACAAATATACTTGCTCATGTTTTCAAGGAGTGGACATTATTTAATGTGTGTAGACCTGATACTATCCTAAGAATTATATAGAGACCCTTCTCCTGTATGCTTCATGAGGTTGCTCAATTGATAGCAGATGTGAAGGAAATACATTATACACAAAAATCACCCTATACTTCCATGGATAACTCTTCATATGCAAAATGTTGTGAATGTATTCCAACATTATACTGATGAAGTCATAACTGACATTTCTCTTATGATATGTATCTTTAAAATTTAGAATCAAACGTAAAAGCTTGGAGACATACTATGTTAAAAAAAAAATTCAAGTTCCTGGGGCTGGATAGACAGCTCAGTGGGTAAGAGCACATGTGGCTATTCCAGAGAACCTGAGCTCATTTCCAAGTACCCACATCAGGTGACCCAAAACCCAGTGAAATTCCAGCATCAGGGAACCCAATGCTTCTCTGGGTACCTTCACTCATATGCATATTCTCATGTGCAGACAAGCATACCTACACCTAATTAAAAATAATAAAAATAAATCTTTAAAAGGAAATTTAAAATCCTCACATTTCAAAAATCATCTTCAAATGTTGTTTATTCTGCCCTTTTCTGGAGCTCCATGAGTAGTTTTAAGTTAGCATTTTATTTTTCTTATTTCTAATGAACATAGGTTTTTAAAAAACATATGAAATTTGAAATATTAAATTGTAGCTTCTGTGTTCATGGAAATGAATTAATTATGCTGAGGTCATCAAGACAACAGAGGACTATTTTTAAGACATAGCATCATATTTTTGAATTGTCTTGAAATCCTGTGACAAGGAAGTTATTTTTAAGGCAGTATATGTCCTTTAATTTAATAAATGGGGATTTGCTACATGGCTTGTTCTATTTCAAAAACCCATTTCATTTCTTTATTCTTCTTGAGATAATTAGGACATGTATAGATGGATCTTTGTCATGGGCGCTGAATCCTAGAGCTCAGCTCTCGAAGGAGTTATAGAGAACACCTGCACTAATCCTTTATTTCCACCCAGACCAAGAATCATTATTTCACCTTTGCCTTTGTCAAAAGCAGTGTTATTGATGTGTCAATGCACTGACAGCCAGCTCTTCCTGGTGCTCATTCAAACTTGGTTAATTTGTTGGCTTTTTCAAGTTATGAGCCATGTATTTCCAAGTAGATATATTTTCTCTTTTTCCGTTTTTCTTAAAGAGGCAACATTTTTATTTTGATGGTTCCCTGTGGATGCAGCTCCTCAGGCATAGTTTGATGCACATAAGGCTCTTTTGAAAGCTCACATTTTTTTGTTTTGGGGAATTTAAGTTATGTAATAATGAATAATACATTGAGGAATTTCATTGAGGATGATATTTAGGTCTCTCTCTCTCTTTTTTTTTATTACAGTCTAATATCAAGCGATCCCCACCTTTTGTTTTTTAAAGCCAACTTGGATAAAAGTTCTAAATATGGTCCATGGAGAAAAGCATGATACATTCATTTATGTTAGATGTTATTCTGTTTTATTTAGATTGTTTTAAGTATTTTTATTTTTCTCTTTGAAAGTGAATTCTTTTCTCACATAATCTATTCTAATTACAGTTTTCTCCTCCACGCTCCTCCCAGTTCCTCTTTACCTCCTCTTCCATCTGGATCCACTCCCATTCTGTGAAAAGAACAGGCTTCTAAGAGAGAATAATAAAAAGAAACAAGCTAAAATATAATAAGATAAAGCAAAAACTATCACATTGAAGTTGGACAAGACAAACCTACAGAAGGAAAAGCCTCAAGAGAAGGCACTAGAATCAGAGACCCACTAGTTTATACTCTCAGGAATTCCATAAAAACACAAATGGAAGTTTTATGGATGCCATAATATATACATAGAGGGCCTGGTGCAAACCCATTCAGGCCCTGTGTACACTGCCTAAGTTTCTCTGAGTGCAATATGAGCTTTGCTGATGTTGATTTAAAGGTCCTGGCTTTCTTGGAGTCTTCTATCTCCTCTGGCTCTTACACGCTTTCTTATTTTTTATCTTAAGAAATTTATTTCCCTCTTTAGTTTACATCCCAGCTGTATTTTCCCCTTCCTCCTCTCCTTCCAGTCCCTCTCCACAAACTCCCCTCTGTTCCCATCCCACAATGGCAGGTTGGCCACGAGTATCAACAAAACATGGCATATCAAGTTGCAGTAAGACTAACACCTTCGCATGTATTATAGCCAGTCAAGGTGACCCAGTATGAGGAGTAGGGTCCCAAAAGCCAGTAAAAGAGGCAGAAATCGACCCTGCTCACACTGTTAGGAGTCCCACAAGAAGACCAAGCTACACAACTGTAACTTTCAGGCAGAGTGCCTAGGTCAGTCCCATGTAGGCTCCCTAGTTGTCCATTCAATCTCTGTTAGCCCCTGTGGGGCCAGGTTTGTTGACTCTGTGAGATTTCTTTTGGAGTCCTTGACCCCTCTGGTTTCTACAATCCTTTTTCCCTCTTTTCTGCAGAATTATCTGAGCTCTGCCTAATGTTTGGCTGTGGGTCTGCATCTGTTTCTGTAAGTTGCTGCATGAAGTCTCTCTGATGACAGTTGGGCTAGGCACTAATCTGTTCATTGGAGATGGCCAGTTCTGGCTATGTATCTTCTAGTACTATTGCTAGGAGTCTTAGTTGGGGTCATCCTTGTAAATTCTTGGGCGACTCCCTTGTGCCAGGTTTTTAATCTGATCTCAAAATAACTGCCTTCCTGTAGTCTCTTCCAGTACTCTCCCCTTATGCACCCACTTCAACCTTATGGCTCATGTTTCCATCCCCATCTGCCCTCAGTCAACCCACAAAAATCTCTTCTATTTTCCCTTCCTAAAGAGATTGGGGGATTCCCCATGAGCCCTCCTTTTACCTAGTCCCTCTGGGTATGTGGATTGTAGCATAGTTATCCATTATTTTACAGCTCATTTCTACTCATGAGTGAGTATATACTGTGTTTGCCTTTCTCATTCAGGATTTTTATTATTTTTTTTCTAGTTACATCCATTTGCCTTCAGATTTCTTGGTGTCCTTGTTTTTAACAGCTGAGTAGTACTCCATTATGTAAAAGCTCCACATTTTCTTTATTCATTCCTTGATTGAGGGACATCTAGGTTGTTTCCAGGTTCTAGATATTACAAATAAAGCTGCTATAAACATAGTTGAGCAAGTGTCCTTGCGGTATGATTGAGCATCCTTTGGGTTTATGCCCTAGACTGGTGTATCTGGGTCTTGTGGTAGATTGATTCCCAGTTTTCTGAGAAACTGCAATGCTTTGGAGGAGTGTTCGTATTGCTCTGCATATTCTCCAGTTTGAGCAGTCATTGTGTATTTGATCTTAGCCATTCTGACAGGTATAAGATGGAATCTCAGAGTAATTTTGATTTGTATTTCCCTGATGGCTAAGGATGTTAAACATCTCCTTCAGTGTTTCTCAACCTTTTGAGATGCTTCTGATGAGAAATCTTGTTTAAATCTGTACTCCATTTTTTTAAATGGAATTATTTGGTTTGCTGATGCCTTGTTTCTTGGGTTCCTTTTTAAAATTTCCCTCATTTTATTAAATAGATTATTTAATAATTTTATTAAATAGATTATTAAAATAGATTATTTTCTCACACAATATAACCCGACTACAATCTTCCCTCCCTCCACTATTAGAGTCCCTTCCGATCTCCCCTCATATCGAGATCCACTTCATTTCTGTCTCTCATTAGAAAAGAATGAGCTCCCAAGAGGTAACAACAAAACAAAATAAAACATAATGAGCTAAAACAGGATTTCAGTGATAAAGCCCAAGGAGTGTTGTGTCATAAGTAGCAAATCCCTTACAGGACATTTACACAGGATTCACATATCCTGTTTGGTTACCTCAGTTCCTTTTGTTTTCTCTGTTCTTGATGTGAAACACAAGTGATGTAGGGATTTACTAATTTCACTACCGGCTGGATAATTTCAGATGTTTCAGTGTGCCTTCTACTGCACATTACGCAGAAAGAAATAATAATCATTTTAACAGTCAGACAAGTGTCTGTGGGTTTTT